AAAAAAAAAAACGGAAATGAATTTTCATGGTCCCCTCCATAGTCCATACCTTGAATATGACTTTAATGGCAAAGATTTCAAGAGTTTGCTAGCTGTTGTGTTAGCTAGGGTTTCCAATCAAATTTGGAGTTTAAATCTAAGGCATTATTGTTGTTGGATATGGAGATAGGTAAGGACCCCACCTCCCCATATGCATGCTGCAATTCATCCCACTATAAAATTTACCTACTACCAAATTTTTAAATTTTACTGTCGTAACATTAGTCAAATTTAAGCACAACTTAATATTAATTAAATTCGAATCAAATATTTATCATTAGACCAAAAGTTATAATCAGTAATTAATAAATATGTAATTTTATCACTTTTATTATGTAACAATATACGTCATGATTTAATGATGGGATACATAATATTAATCCCAACACCTAAGACTAGATGCATGCAATTATATATATACTTCATATTATTATTATTATTATTATTATTATATAATAAAAGTCATGATTAGGAAACAAATAAATAAATTTGTAAAGGTGGGAAATGGGTGTGTTTCTCTATGTATGATCTTTATTATTGAATTAAAAGAAATTATTTGTTTAGTTTGGGTATAGAGGATAGTGACTAGTCTTGGGATGACAGAAGAAGCAACTCAAAGGAATTATTAATTGAAGAGGCAAATTGAAGAGGTATATTGTATAAGGACTGCATGCAAAAAAAGACTGATTTTTTTCATAATCATCCCACTTCCATTTCACATATCAATCCTACAAATTTGAATATATATATATATATATATATATATATATATATATATATATATATATATTGATCAATAACAATTATATTTTAAAACATAAAAAAAAGTCACTACATATATTATTTTAATTTATAAGACTATATTATATATTATAACTATTTGTATCTTTATAAATAATATTAAAAGATTAACAAATATAGAAATTCTTGCACTGATCAAATAGAGAAAAAAAAAAAAAAAAAGGAGAAAATATACTTTTCCCCCTGAGTTATATACATATAGCATTTTTTCTCTCCGAATTATTCAAGTAAGCATATTAGCTCCCTCAATTATTCTAAAAGTGACAGTTTTTCCCCATGATATATTAACTTGACATTTCTACCCTTAAAGTAAACATTTTGTTTATTTTTCTTCTCCAACAAATTATTGTGTATATGTAGGGATGACCACGGTTTGATTCGAACTAAACCGGACAGTATACCAATCGAATTAAAAGTTTCCGGTTATGATTCAGATCCAGGACCCAATATTAATTTGCATTTCAGTTTATTAAAATTATGAATAAAAAATTGGACCCTGAACCGTGAACCGGCAGTTTCGGATCCGGTTCGCGATTTTGAACCGTCTTTATTTTAAAATTTTATTTTTTATTTTAAAATAGTCTAAATTCAACAATAAATGTATTTTATTTTTCAGTTCGAAACATGAACCGGCCGTTCCGGTTCGTGATTTTAATAACTCTAAATATCGAGTTTCGATTCTAAATTGTAATTGAAATATTTCGGTTTGGTTGCTATAGTGTTTTTTTGGTTTGAACCAAATTGTGGTCATAATTTGTTGGACAAGAAAAATAAATAAAATATTTATTTTAAATATTTATTTTAAGGGTAAATATGTCCATTTAATATTTTACGGGGGAAAAACGGCCACTTAAATAATTCAGGGGAAAAAATACTATAAGTATATAATTCAGGAAAAAAAAGTGCTATTTTTCTTAGAAAATACCAAGCACCCCAACCTAGCTAGCTAGTAGTCATAATAGTAGGATGTTGATAATAATCAATAGGAGTGTTTGAATATAAAACATATATCCAATAATAAACATGTGGTATTATTATTATTATTATTATTATTATTATTATTATTATTATTATTATTATTAATTTAATCTTTAATGTGGTATCAAAGCAAATAGAAGTCAAAATATGTCCTTTAATTTGGGAATCTAGATAAATTAACTAAGATATTATTGTCTTTAAATAAATGTTTAGCACGATTGTAGGTTAATTTAATTCATTTTTTAAAAAAAATTATATTTTGCATTTCTTGCAACAACAATAAATTTTCTTGAGATGAAATTAACATTAAATGATGAATATGGTTTAATAATTATAATTCTTATGACAATATATTGCATAATCATGACAATCATTGATGGAGAGATGTACATATATTCTGGCGGATGCACATATATTTGGGTACTTATATAATAATGCATTTCCTTTTATATTTGTTTTTGTGACAAGAAATGCCGATAATTGGTATCTAATGATGTGCATCTCAAATTACACAAAAGAGGTAAATAACACTAAGAATATAATTTGATGCACATTTATTTTTATACTAAAACATAGTATGGTAGAAAGTTGTAGCAGTAAACCAAAATATATCATGCATCAATTAGTCCTATATGGAGAATAATATTACATTTTTCATCAAAATTTTATTATATACTTTGATTTATGAAAAAATTCGCAATCGTTATTTAAAGATACGTTCGGAGTACAACCTATCTTGTGAGCTTAGCCGGCAAAGGACCACAAAAAAGGTAAACTAACGTAAGTTGCATATAGTTGACCAGCTCAAACAAAAAATGACAATAGACCGCACAGCTCTCCTCCCAGCCAACTATCCAACTAACTTGATTAAGATTGCCCCAAATTCTACTATACACTTATTACAATAATAATTTTTGTTTTATTTTAAATGAATGCATCACTTCATAATATAAAATATAATTTCAACGAAGACGGAGTCACATGCATGATCACTAAATTAAAATGAAGCACATTCATTTACATTATAAATTAAACCTCATATTCTTTTTTTGTTTAAGTACTTCTGACTTGGTTACAATGCATAAATCTCATATACCTATGACATACATAATTGATAATACATCGATTAGATGCTGTCTGATCATAAAATGTTTATAGTCATATACAAACTTTACAGATCGTTTATTAACAAAAGATTAATAGTAACAATACTCCAACCTAAGTGGCTTTGAAATAAAATAAAATCACCCAACATGTCATGAATTAATGAAGATCTGTACTAGGTTAATTAGCTTCATGATAGATGATAATATTATAATAATGTAAGTCTGAGATTAGTTACTAAGCTTAGAATGAACAAGCTAGAATGGAGGACCACAGGACATTATATTGCTGACTAATGCCTGCAGACCATAATATATGTGTCTAAAAACAGGCTAACACTGGTAATAAAGAAGCAGCACCAACTACAAGTACCCTGCTCCTGTCTTAGCTATCTTCATATTGACCCACCACCAAATTTCAAATTAAACAAGTTATTGTGATACTATAACAGAATGTTAGACCCGCCCCTCCATACATATATCCAATAATCTATTTTATCCAATTAATAATGTTTCATATTTTGTTATAAACATTTTTTGGTTGTGCCATGGACTATTTCAAGTTTCAACATATAACTATTTATATATGTAAGTATAATAGGACAGGGGACATTATGAGACTGTAGAAACTCACATTATAATACTATTCAAACCATATGGAGAAAATTAAAAATTTGGATGCATATAGGGGCTGTACTGAATTCAGTTTTTTTTTTTTTTTTTTTTTTTTTTTTTTTTTTTTTTTTTTTTTTTATAAAAAGTGTATGGATGTAAAAATATATTGAGGTATAGTAGTGCATGGTGGTGATAGAGAAATGCGCGTGGTCCGCTCCATATTTTTGTCTCATTTGTGCAAAGTTGCATTGTCCAAAATCTTAATGATTTGAAATGAATAAACACTTATGGAACACCCCCCCCCCCCCCCCTACCCCATACATTTTTTTTTTCTAACTGGCTAGTGGCTAGTGGCTACTACATACCTTTTGTTCTTTTTTTATTTTTAGTTTTTTATTTTCTTTAATTTGATTTTCTGCCATTTTAGTTTTACCTACCTCTTAATATTTTAAATTTAGATGAGTTTATCTCCAGCTTGAATTAAAACTTATCTAATCAATGCTCCTACTCGATCTTAAACAATTAAACCGCACTAACAAAAATTGTGCAATACGCTCGACTAACACTAAATTTGTGACCTTTCAATTATAAGAATCATGCGCTATTCATTTAATCATTCCTTCTACGACTACACACTTTATTTTCAATACTCTCCAAGTCTCGAATGATATACTTTTATCATGAGACTAGTTTGTGGTAGTTAAGATTAGTCGATTCACAAAATAATTAATTAATTTTTTAAGATAACCACATCCGAGGGAACTAAAAATCTCACCTCAATTCTGTTCCAATATTCCCAAATTTGTATTCATCCCCGACCCATCTCCGTCAAGATTGAAAATCAAGTTTTTTTATTAGATACCGCTAAGGATATTGTGATCTAATGACACCAAATTGCTCTTTTATATGAGAGGTTGTAGGTTCGAGCCCCAATAGCGGCGAGTCAGTAGTACTCTATAGTTTCAATAACTACTTACCAAAACCATGCACCTTTTATATATATATATATATATATATATATATATATATATATATATATATATATATATCATTAAATAAATTAATTCAAATTATGCATTGATTTATTAATGTTACTGGCCCTATTACATTGTAGTATCTGTTCATATACTTTCTCAACCTACTGAAACACAAAGAACCAATAACGCCTCCACTAAGGCTTGAACTCGTAATCTTCCAAATGGAAGTCCAACCCGGGTACCATTAGACCACATAGTCTTGGTAGGTGCATATATTATATTATATATAAATAGGAAATTCAGTAAATTTTGTAAATAAATAATTAAAAACAATTGTACATACATTACATGTGGGGGGAAATTCAGTAAATTCTGTAAACAATTAATTTGTGTATTTTGAAAGTGGACCTAAGCAATAATTGTTAGAGTCCATGGATGATGTGATTGAGCTCATCAAAACCCCCATCCATCCCAAACTATTTCATACAAAAACATGTTTAGCTTAGCTTAGCTTCTTCAATTCCTTCACATTCTCCTCCCAAATTCCACCATATCCTTTCTCTCTCTCCTTTAACATTCTCACACCCAATTTTGTTTCCTGCTTTAAACTGATAATGGAGAAGAATGAGCAGAGAGAGACTCGCGACTTCATGAACGTTGACTCCTTCTCTCAGCTTCCCTTCATCCGCCCCTCGCCGCTCAAACCGGAGAAGGGCATTAGGCTCTTCGGCAAAGACTTCGGCGGCGGCGCCGAGGATGATTCTGAATCCAACGATACCCCCGCCGCCGCCGCAGGCGGCGGCGGGGAGAGCAAGGATAATGACAACAACGGCGGCGAAAGTAGCCGGAAATTCGAGTGCCACTACTGCTGCCGGAACTTCCCCACTTCCCAGGCCCTCGGCGGCCACCAGAACGCCCACAAACGCGAACGCCAGCACGCCAAACGGGCGAACCTCCAGTCCGCCATGGTCCACGGCGGTCTCTCCGCCGCCGACGCGCACCTCTACGGCCTAATCAACTACCGCATAGGCTCCGCTCCCGCCGCCGCTCCGCCCATCCCCTACCATCATCACCACCACCCTCAGCCCTGGAGCGGCGGCACTAGGGTTTACGGCTCCCACGTCGCCAACCCTTACTCCCAACCTCCCATCAACGGAAGCCCGCTCGCCCTATGGCGCGTCCCCGCCGTGCCGCATAATTCGCCGCCGCCGCCGTCGTCTTACTTCAGCCGAGACCGCTCAATGCATCCATTGCCGTTGCTGGCAAAGGAAACTGATCTGAAACCGCCATCTTCCATAATCAGTAGCTCCGCTACTCATCAAACCCGGTTCGGGTACGACCCGAAGCCACCCAGCGTCAAAGATGTGAGTTTAGATCTACACTTGTAATAACCATAGCTTAATCCATCGTTTTACTCCATCTTTTGTATTAGCCTGCAGATCAGATGACAAAAATTTTAAGAACAGTATCATATATATATATATATATATAATTTTTTTTTTCCTTTTAATTTCCTACCTAGTACTACTAAACTTGTTAACTTTAATTTTTTTCCATATATATTTTATATTTATAAAACTTTTCCTAAATTCCGTTTTGAATGTCCAATTCATCATAATTAATCACTCAATTTTGGTTCACATTTCATATGATAGTGGAGTACAGTTAAACTCCAAACTTCTTTCTTAATTAAAGTTACAAAAAGAAAAAAAAAATGTCAAGTTTTAATTTTGAGGGGTGGCATTATAGGTGATGTTTTCTAGCTACTTCTGAAAAATAATTACAACTTTAGGTTAAGAATAGTGAAAATGTTTAATTTGTTTGTTTTCAGCTGCATTTAATTTACTTGGGAAGTTAATTAATGTTGTAGCATATATATTCTTGGAAATACAGGAATTGAGGTTAATGAAATTAAAGGAATTAAGTGACAAAAGTTGAAATTAAACAACCAGCTACATTTTGCATCCAGTACATAACATAAATGTGTAGTCTAATTATAAGTTTTAATTGTTTAATTGAGATGAAACACATCATTCAATTTGGTACTAGAGTTTAATGTCAAAGATTGGATGTCCTAATTGATAATCCTACTAAACTTTTAATTGAGATGGAACATGTTGTCCAACTCTAATTTTCTAAGTCAGTGGTTTGAAATGATAATTCACAAGAATTGGGTCCAAAATCTTGAAGATTTGTATAGTTGGTTTCTAGTCTTCTTTTTTTTTTTCTTCCTTCTGAATTGGTTAGCTTAGGGAGCAGATAAGGTTTAATTTAAATTAGCCATGTTTAAGAACATTTGATCCTGACAATCGTATAAAAAGGATTAAGCATGAAAAAAAAAAAAAAGAAAAAAAAAAAGATGGACCAATACCATGTCTGCTTCACAATCCTATAAATATACATACATGTAAGGAGAATAAAACACATAGCTTTTTGTCTGTATTGATATCTGGTATAAGTAAACCTGAGATGACAACCTATGGAGCCAATAATGTATATTCCTGAGCTCTGGTTTGGTACTTGTATGGACTGGCTTGGTTCTCAATTCAAATTATAATTTCTTTATTTATTTAATTTCTTGCATTTTGTGTGTGTATATAATTATCATTATATTGGGGACTCCCCAATTCATTGAATTTTTTTCAGATAACCAAACTATTTGATGATCTGGGTCACCTTAATTAGCTTGGTCATATATATGTTAGTTACTCTTTTTGTCTCAATTTATATTAACGATGATCTACTAATTTTTTTTACAATTTTTTATATATTAGTATAGCTATGAATGTTGTTACATATAAAGTTCATTTTTATTACATTAAATGTTTAATTTTTTGTATACTACTGAACCTTCAATTTTAAGTGCATATACATACATACATATATATACATATATATATATATATATATATATATATATATATATATATATATATATATAAACATTTAATTTTCAAGTACAATACATACGCTAAAAAAAACGTGTAAAAAATTGCGTGCTATTTGTGGTTAAGAAGTTGGTCTCGAGATTCATTTATTAAGAGAAAAATTTAAGACAAGATAGAAAATAATAACACTACCGGGCTCAGACCTGACCTGACTGAGCTTACCGGCCGGCAACAGACTTCTGGGCTTCAACCGGCTCATCATCATTCATCACCAAATGTTACAACTAACAATAAGTGGATTGATCTAACGTTATTGTACGAGGGAGGGAGTATGATGGATCTCAGCGCTGCACTATGCTTACTTCCCAAGCCGGGGTTCACCCATCCCGGAATTGCTTAACCACAGAGTTCTATGGTATCTGGATGTCATATCCTATTTAAAATCAATTGATGATAAGTAGGTGAACGTTAAACATTTAATCACATCTCTCCATGGTAAGCCACAACGACACGTCTCGAATCGAGCAGGGGCTGAACTATGCCAACCCGGGCGACGCCCTATAGAGTGCATACATGTATGTATGTATGTGTTGTTTATGATAGGGTAAGATAAGATGTATCTGTGTACATTATATATGCTTTTTCTTGGTAGTAGCGGATTACTGGGTACAATTCAACAACTAACTTTCTAAGCAATGAAACCTAGCTAGCTCTGATCTGATATGATATGATCTGATCTGGATTGGCCTGAGCTATGTACGTTACTGCTATAAATAAGAAAGAAATGTACGTCCGATCGTACGGCTGCCTTTCTGTTATAGTGCAGTGCTTCCATACTGCTACTGCATATTACTGTACGTACGTGATTCAACCAAAAGTTGCACATTTTTCTTCCATGTTTACTGTTTAACTGTTGCTTATTGCTTAATTGCTTCACCAACACACAAATTTGGAAGGGAAGATACAACCAACCTCTCAGGTTATCTCTTAGATTTTAGTATTAAAAAATCTCAAAAATTTTCGAATAGTGATTGTATGAGACTAAAATTTTTCAATTTATATGCGAGAGAAACATTAATTAAGTAAACACTAGGAAAGCGATATGATTTGATCAATATATGAGACAAATTTCCCTTCGCACATATTATTGCATGAATGTGTAAGGGGTTTTAGGATTTTTGTGACTCTATATACTAAGTGGGGAAAGTGGGAACCCTAGTTTTGTGATGGGGTAGAGAGAAAGAGGCATGAAAAGAGCAAGTAACAAGGAAGTAAAAGAGAGGGGAGGTGATTGGTGTGAGAGTTTAGGAACAGCATTGATGGAATGTACTTTCAAGGACTTGTACACACTATGTCCTGCAATAAATCCATATAAGGGGGGTTTTATTTTGACATCTCAAGTAGACACTGTATCAACTTTCTGGTCAGTCAAGCCGGGGGGACACATTTTAAGTTTTCACATGTGGCGATTGTACTATCACTCTGTTCCTGCGGTCACCACTTTGGACCGCAATGTCTAATCATCACTCCCCTATCAAATCTAAACCTCATCAATCCTTAAAACTATGGTTACAAAAGTTTGAATTCTATCTCAATCAACATTTCACTAAATGACCAATTACCAATAAGACTTACTTCCAAGAGTTCTACTACATAGACTCCCAAATCTTACTCCCTAAATTTTACTCCCTGATGTAGCGCACTCTGATAAGCTAATTTTTTTCATGTGGATCCCAATACAAATGTCTACATCAAGATTTTGTGTATGGGAGTATAAGTTGGGAATAGAAAATGGGAGTACACATAGTATTTTCTTACTTGCAACAATATGGTGTAAGTTTAAATCTGATTGAGAACCATGGAAGGACTTCTTCTGTGCAATATAGTCCAACTAAGCTGGAAAATCTTGTACAAATCACTCCATCGTACTCCGTTCTTTTTTTTTTTTTTGATACATTATGTTTCCCTTAGACTAATCCTAAGCCCCCATAGCTCTTGTCCAAGTCACTGGGGAGGTAAATTGCAAGTCGTCCAAGTAGCCTCCCAATTAGTCCCTGTCGTTGACTCTGTGCACAAAGGATCCATCTCCACAGTTTCACCAACTTGAGAAGCCCAATCTCCAATTTAAACAGTCCAAGGGCCCAAACTTGGAGAGTTCTAACTCCAAGATGTTGTTGGTGAAAATTGAATCCCACCCTGTAGCTAGAGTGGTGCCTAAATTAGTCATTGGCTCCATTAGATATTAAGGTAAGTCGGAGTGAAATAGTGAAGGTAATAGAAAGAAAGGGAAAAAGAAATGGCAGTGTGGCACCACATATAGTGTCAGGCTTTACTATAACATCCCCCAACTATCTAGGGGCCCGCAAGTAAATGCACAAAAATGGTGGGGAGAAAGCTGAAAGTATGAATATATATGCAGAAGAGAGATTAAAGAGTCACACGTAATGATTAGGACCACAATATTAGAGACACATCAGCGGAATTTAAGAAACCTTGGCCCACAACCCTATAAAAAGGCTGGGAACGAGGTTTAACAGTTTGAAGTTTAAACAGTGTGCCATGCTAAAGTGCGCCGCAGGCAGTGGGCAGTGGGCGCACGAAGCTGCCTCTGCTGCCATTAAGTTTTTGTCTTTGTACAGACTCTTTTTAGGTGGTGATGGCACACCACATTTAATCCTCTAAAACCCACCTGTACTGTTTCTTCACATCAACCCTTCAACTAACGCACTCACAGTACCATGAAACATACAAATTACATACTGAGTAGTATAGTCATACTGTCACAACACTATACCAACAAACAAAAGAATGGATGGAACACTATCAAAATTAGACGAAATAACTTTATACGGGAATTAGTCTGAGTATGAGTATGGTACGGGCTTAAAAGGTGCCTCCTACAGGCCTACAGTTAGGGCCTAGTCAGAACACCTCATGGCCTGACCCAAAAAAAAAATTTATACGGGTATTTGTCAAGTATTCATATAAGCACTCATCCGATAGAAAGGAAGTATAGAAACAAAACTAGGTTTAGAAGAGATTCTCTAACAAGCTTGACCAAAAAATATGGACACATATGTAAATCAAGCACCTTGGCATCTTGATTCAAATATACACAGGATTTGTTACAAAATTGAAAGCGGATTTTCTCACTTTGTGCACCTGGAATAATCATCTGAGTTTTTCAGGGCGAGCGCCTGAAGTATGTGCTTCTTCTATGTGCCTTGTAAGCAATGATATTCCATGATGGGATGCACTTGAAGCAGCATAATATGATGTCACAGTGAGCTGTGCAAACTTTGGAAGTGCAAAACCTGTAAAGAAGATCAAAAGGATTCCCAATGATTTACTTTATAAAAAATAGATAATTAAATTATACACAAAGGTTGTGAAAAATGGTGAGAAAAAGTTAATCAGCAGTGATTTCAAAGAGATCCTTCATAGTAGTTCATTGATCAGTTATATACAATTGGTTTGATTTCCAATGACCACTTAATGAAACTTACCCATTTGGAATCCTTTGTAAATCAAGAAATTAACCAGAAAGGTGCTACTTTGCTACTCATCCCAAATTTCTTTCAGTAGCATACAAACTTGGTCAAATATTATAAAAATTATACCACTAGTCATCAAATTGTAAGCATCCTGTGTGAACAAACTTAAGGGAGAACAATGCAATTTTTATCAATGAAAAAAATAAAATTTACATGAGTTTTACCAATAAATAAAGCAGTGACTGTAGCGTCTAATCACAACAAGACGGAGGGATTGCCAGAATTCTACTCCCTCTCCACTTTTTTTATTTCTTTTCTTATAAGGTCTCCTACCGTTTCTAATTAACTGGCCAAGATATTTAAAAAAAAATGGATTCACTTTTTCCTTCACAAAGCAACTGAATACCACCATACACAAGTAATAAATAAGATGTCTAATTACTGAAATAAATAACAATATCTATGAGCTGAGAAAGTTCAATCTAGGAGTATGGTTTGGATCAGAAAATTGCAAATTATACATGACACTATGATACAATGCTCAATTATATTTAGAATTACAATACACAGGATCACAAAATATCTATCTCCAAACAGAAAGAGATAAAGTTGTTTCAGACTATTTCACATGAAACAATGCTCAATTATATAAACAATTACAAATTACAAAAAGACCCATTGGCAGTTAGCATAAACTTATGAACAAATCTTGTAAACCCCCATAAGAAACCATCAATGTACAACCTCAAGTTACTAGTTTTACAGCCCACCATTAATATTTATTTTTACCAATAGGTAGAAACTATATACAATTAGAAATTACAGAGGTTCTAGCAGCAAAAATGCCAGACCCTTTGGACAAGGTTTTTGCACCATGAAGGATCATGGGAAGAGAGATATGCCCAATTTTACCTCTGTCCTCAGACAGGTTGAACTCAAGTCTGTATAAACAATAGCACTACAGAGAGTACACATAACTAATTCCATCATACAGCCCACAATAGAACCTTAAATCTAAACAAAAAGGTAACAAACCACAGCTGAAGTGTAAAAATGGTTCTTAAAATGAAGTTTGGATATCTAAATGAGGGAAGAAGCGTACCGCCAAATGCTGCACTAGCTGCAGAAAACATCAGAAGTGGAGGGAGCTGCACGCACAAATCCAGACGGAATGCAAAGAGGAAGAACAATAAGTTCAATTGACATAGGCAAATGCAACATCATTCAACTATATCCAAATCTCGCACATAAGATGAAATGAAGTGCAACAATTCCATAAGCATGTAACAGCCATACCCCTATAACAAAAGGAAGCCACTTTGGTCCCTTCACATGCTTCTGAACGAAAGGAATACCTGAAGTATAATCATTTTATTAATTATTAATATGAATGTGACTTAATGGAAACAAGTGAAAGAGAGCAGTGCAAGGAAGGACTGTACACATGCCTGTGTTCAAACCATGGACTGAACTAAGCAATCCACCAATTCCACAGCCAGTCTATTGGAAGGATACATGAGATGAGAACCAAAAAAGAAGAAACCTTTTAAGGGATCAATTGGAAACAAAGAAGAATTAAGATTTAAGATAAGGAACTGTCAACTTGAAGTGGAATAATATTTTCTAAGCCCTCTTAGTGGACCATTCAATATGGGTGATTATAAATTGGCTAAAACAAACCTATCTTTGCATTGAGATAAATGCCAATGAGAATGTGTTGCATCATGGGGAATAAGGTCAATCCATGGATAAATAGGTTTTAGCATTGACATGTTAGGGTTACATAAGTTTTGAAAAGTTAAATGAGGCTATCCTGTTACAATTCCACATTAGCTCCATAAGAGATTTGGAATGATATTTAAGTTTGTTGTGTTCTCCCACCTATTAAACTAGTTTTCTGGGATGAGCTCTTCCATTGGGCTTGAGAACCTACCATTGGAGTTCTTATTGAGAGCCAATGCAGGGGAAGAAAAAGGCTGCCCAGTACCAAAAAAAGGTCCAGAGTGAAAGCAATCCAGAGTGAGAGTTGTTTACTCCTCAGGTGCCATCATAGCGGAGGGGGCGACCTAGAAAAAAGGTTACCTAGTGCTTGATAAGGTCCAGACGGAGCCAAGAAGAGTTCGGAGTGTGAGTTAGGCCACGGAGATGTTGGCTTCTCAAGGTGTAGGCAGTGATACGATTACATATCAGCCCCATAAGAGATTGTGGGATGGTATTTAAGCTTGAGGGGTTCTCATACCTATTGGACTAGTCTTTTGGGATGAGCTCGAGTACCTATCATATCCACTCACAATGCCTATTTACCTTCTCATGTGAAATAAGTAATCCAGTTACAACCCGTCCTACTTTCTCAATTTCTCACAAGTTGTTTTACTAGTATAATTAGCATGGTTATATTCCAGTCATAAAAGCATTTTCAAATATATCTTTCAAGCACATTTTATTCCATTCACAAAGAAACACAATCATGTGCTCAATTTACAAAGAACAAAATCAGTATATATGTTTTCCTCTTTTCTTCTCCCAGCATATTTACCATTTATAATAAATTATTACTCATACAACTAATGCCAACTAAAGCTCTCAAAGCTTCACTTCTCCCAGTTTCTTGTTTATATTTTGTAGAAAAAATTCTCACTTTTGTTCTATGAGTATTGGTGTATGTTTAATTTAGATCCATGACTATCAATTTTAGTAGAGATATTACTCAGCAAATGACACAAACCGGATAGACAATCTTATTTGATTATTATAAGATCTATTTTTCAATTATATGGTTGACATCTAACTCTCTAATTTGTCAAAATTGCAATTACTTAAATACCTGCAAGTTTGAGATAATAAGATGCATATTGCTTTAAGACCATGAAAAGGTACTCAGTACTCTAAAAGGTAACTTTGAAAGTTGAAACAATTCCAGAAGGTTCTAAACAAACAACTATGAATCCAAAATCCTCACAATAATCAGATTGAAGCACTTGCTGAGCTAACATCTAGATACATAAATTTCAATGAAATGTTTTTAAAAAAAAAATCGATTTGCATATGAGAATCAATAAAAAGCCATACCACAGTAGTGAAGTCATGCAGAACTGGTGTGATTCTCCATTCTGCGTTCCCCTGTACCGCATCAATCAAAAATTAGAAAAATATTCGGGCAACAGCTCAAAATCTAGGAATCAATTAATTGAACGTGTATACGCAAAGCGTAAGCATATAATTGAAGAAGCGAGCGAGCGAGCGAACGTACAGAGGTGGGGTTTAAGAGAGACAAACAGCGAGGGCAGCGAGCCGAGCCGAGTCCAGGCTTGATGGTTGGATCGTGATACAGATTCCCCGTCCTCAGCCGCTCTTCGTAAACTTCCCGAGTCCCCATGTTTAAGCCTCAGAGCTCTGTTCTCTCTTTTCCACTTTCCAGAATTCCAGTTCTCTCTCACTCTCAGCGGAGGAAGGAGAAGAGAAATCAACTCCACCGTACCATACGAAGTATAGTATAGGGGGCAAATTATGTGTAGACATGGTCCACCTTGCAAGATAGATCGAACGCTCAGTCTAGAATAACAGGATTTTGTTTTCTTAGTTAATGATATATATACATTTTGTAAATATAGAGTTAAAAATTGTGAATATAAAATTTTAAAATTGTGAATACAAAGTTCAAAAATTGTGAATATAGAATTCAAAATTGTAAATATAGATTTAAAAACTGTGTTATACTGTAATTATAAATATAGAGTTATGAAAGTATGAACATAGAATTCTATAATTATGAATATAGAGTTTAAAAATGTGAATATAAAATTTAAAAATTGTGAATATAGAGTTCTGTAATTTTGTATATTGAGATTTAAAATTATGAATATTCAATTCGAGTTCAAAAATTATAGATATAGATGAATGAATCCTAAAGACAATGACAAGTTAACGGCAAGGAAGAAAACAATTTTTCTTTTTAATTCAGACGTCGTCATTTTGAACCCGGGTTCATGGCATAACTAGTGGGCCTTATTCCGGCCCAAATAGTTACGAGCCCGTTGGAATAGCCCAACCTTCAAAAAGCCCATAGTATGGTCCATTCCCATTGTAATCGTGGTAAACAAAACCTTATAAACCACAACTTCTGCTAGGGCTTGGCTTCTCACAGTCGTCAGACACCACTCGGAAGTCGGAGCGGCGCTTGCACGGAGGAGGAAAATGCCGGCTGGTCACGGTCTAAGGGCGAGGACGAGGGACCTGTTCTCTCGGGGGTTTAGGAAGCGTGGTACCATCCCGCTCTCTACCTACCTAAGGATCTTCCACATCGGCGACTATGTCGACATCAAGGTTAATGGCGCCGTGCACAAGGGAATGCCTCACAAGTTCTACCATGGCCGTACTGGTCGCGTCTGGAACGTCACCAAGCGCGCAATCGGTGTCGAAGTCAACAAGCAGGTATATATATGCTACTCCGTATTTATAGCATGTATGTATGACTCAAATGCTCCATTCTATTATTCTATTTCAACATATTGATAGCTTAATATGAATTCGTTGCTTTTTGTATTGCAAACTATCATCTGATTATCTGAATTGAATTTGTGTTTTGATTTATCGTTTGTCTGGAAAAATTGCCTTTCTCTGTAAAATTGTAAATGATTTTCCTGTTTTTAAAGTTCTGAGTTATTGACTTAGGCCTGAAACTTGAAATGTGATGTTATATTTGATTATACTTGTATAAATCCTAATAAAGAAAATATGGCAATATGCAATCTGTTTTGGTTCCTTTTCATGTTAGAATCTCTTTCTTCTATATAGTTAAGAAAAAGAGGAATGGAATGTGATCTAATGGTGACTGATACTAAGCAATCCTCAACTCTATGAAATGAAGACACAAATTCAAGAAGGGATTTTGAGACTCTAATCCCAAATACGAATTCAATAATAGAATGTAATGCTGATGCTAACTGCTATGCAATCATCATCTCTATGAAATGAAGTCACAAATATACAAGAAAATAGAATACGTACCAGCACAATCCCAAACTATAACACATAAATTTGGATGGTTTGTATATGCATTGGTTATTTGGGTTATTTCACTTGTTCATTAAGCTTAAATGCTGCAATGATTCTCGAGCACAGGTTGGGAACAGGATCATCAGGAAGAGGATTCATGTCCGAATTGAGCACGTTCAACTCTCCAGGTGTACTGAGGAGGTTAAGCTGAGGATCAAAGAAAATGACCGCCTCAAGGCTGAGGCAAAGGCCAAAGGTACGGTGATCAGCACCAAGAGGCAGCCTCAAGGTCCTAAACCAGGGTTTATGGTGGAAGGTGCAACCTTGGAGACTGTTACACCCATCCCATACGATGTGGTCAACGATCTCAAAGGTGGATACTAAGTTTTATGTTTCTGGCAATGTGTTTTTTATAGTATTCAATGAATAGCTAAATCAGAGACTGCTTTATTGTCTTGTGACTTGTTATTTTCTGATTCTGAAATTTTGTGCCTCCAATATATGTAGTAGAACTTGTTTGCCTGGATTTCTATGGTTTACTTACTTTCCTACAGACCTAGAGTGAACTTGACTGTTTTAGTTACGTTCATTTTTGTGTTCTGGGTAGCTCAAATGTTTCTATATTTTCAACTTGCTACATCGCAATTCATTAATTTCCTTTTATTATTTAGTATTAATAGCATTGATACCGTCTCGTATCATATAAATCAAGCATTTTTTATATTAAATTATTTGTCATATGCTGTAGGTTTATATAATTAATTTTGTGTTGAAACATACCATTTCATAGTACAAATATTTGGTCCAAATAGCTTTTTTTTTCATGATTAAATTATAGATTGTTAAGACAAATCGATAATATGTTATCAACATAAACATGTATTATTTTACCTATACAATGGAGAAGAACATAATAAAAAAAAATTATAAGAAATGTGATCATGTTACCTACTATTAACGAAGGGTAAAAAATTTCCAAACTAAGGATCTGTTTGGAAAGTAAAAAAAATAACTTTTGAAAAATGAGTTATTTTCTAAAAAATATTTTTCTTTCCAATATTTGGTTTCATTTGGTTATTTCTTAAAAAATAGATAGAATTGTATAATTTAAAAATTTTTAATTTAAAATATAAAAATATAAAGGCTCAAGTGTCAAATCGCACCATGAACCAATTGAACCAATTGCGATATGTCATGTCGCACCCTGATCTTTCGTAAGTGTTGATTAGATGCACAAACTAAAAAAATTTGTCCGTCTAGACTTTTTTACCGGTTTTCCAATACCCTTGATGACATGGTGCCGGTATACTATGAGGTGGCCTTATTGATTTTAATTAAAATGAGAAATGGAGTCCATGTAAGCATGATGTTCATGATGCTGGTCAAGAAGTCTTCTTCCTCCGCCAAGACTTGCTCCCGCTTCGCCGCTGCTAGTGTTATTCTGCCTCTCGTCCAGAATCCAGAGGCTCTGGTTCCAATGATGGTCGTCCCCTCGCAAATCACCCTACGAGAGAGAACTTTTCCTCTGCATCCACCAAATTCTTCCACTCCGACGTTGAAATTTGCACACTTGATCGACGATCCTCTGAAATCTCATTCGGATTATCGGATCTCATTGATCGATCTGCTCCATCTCGCATCGAAATCTTCGATCTGACATTTGAGCGCAAATCTGCTTCCTCTCGCCCCTGTGTTGCTATTTCTGAAAATCGCACAGTTTGGTAGTGAATCGCTCAGAAAACCACTGATATGAGCTACTGGAAACCTCCTCGCAAATTTTGCAAAATTTCTAATTTCTGGTGACGTAAACCGTCACCGGAAAACCCTCAACAAGTACACCCCCGCCTTAGATTGCTTTAGAGCAGCTAATCTCAATGTTCATGATGCTGAAAACGGTGAAATCCTCGAGAGTATATACAAAAGTGTAAAAATCTTGAGGATTTGTCCAGAACGGGCGGTTTTGATCTCTGAAATTAGGCTTTGAATCGCTTCTGAAAAATGGTTCCTAACCTTGCAGAGTATGTAGGGACAGTGCAAATTTGGAAATCTGAGAAGAGTTGGTTTTCTCGCTTCTCTCCGGGTTCCCACAAATTGGAGTGCTTTTTATTTGCATTTTCTCCACTGCTTAAACCTCTGTTGACTTGGATTAAGAGATGCATGCAAACACTTATTATTTTTGGATTGGATTTTGCTTAGCTTTGTATTACAGTATCATGGAGTTTTCTCGCCACTCCTATAGTTCCGTCGACATGGTTGCTATGCAAGTTTTCTATGCAGTGTTCCACCGGCAGCTTTCAAGGCATCCAGCAGTTCACATGATTTTTATTCTCGGTTTTTCAGATCAAGCGTATTCAGTATGTCTTGAGAGAATTGGATTTAGGATTTGGTTTCAGATTTCATTTTTGAGTTTATTAGAGAGAAGTGATGAAATGACTGCCACCTCTACAAATTATAACACGTCAACAACTAAACACTTCCACATCAGCAAGTTATGACCTATTACTTGAAAGCAACCTGTAAAAAAATCTAGGCGGACAAATTTTTTTAGTTTGTGCATCGAATCAGCACTTACGAAAGATCAGGGTGCGACATGACATATCGCAATTGGTTCATGGTGCGATTTGACACTTGAGCCAAATATAAAAATTTGGTTATTTTTTGGAAAATCGCATATCATACAATAATGTAGAGATCTAGTAAGATAACTTCTCATGCATTCAGAAAGATAGGTATTCCCTCAGACTTTCATTGTCTGCCACCATTAACTTTTAGATTTGAAAAAATTATATCATCTAGATAGTCATCTTCTCCATAAAGAAATAGCAAAGGAGTACGGGCTTAGTTTACTGGTTTAGTAGACAATGTTTAGCATAAGAAACCAAGGTCTGAAACTCGGTAGTGACAGTGTGGAGATTACGCCCAAAGTGACTAGATATCTTGTGTGCACAACTTTTGACCCTATTTGTTGCATCATTGAGTTATCGTAATTTACATCATCACAAATGCTTTGTCGAGCCGGGGTGTGGGGGTCCTTGGCATTGGGAACTCAACCTTTGAGGGAAAAAATAGCAAAGGATATTGAAGAGGGAGATAAGTAAGTTGGATTCAAATGACTTATCCTATTTATAATTGACCAGCTTTACTCTCAACTTGTTAATCGCAAGTCAATGACTCAAAACTCTTCAACCTAAACATGAACATAGGGAGATCAATGCGCTTGTATTCTTTAACATTGGTAACATAGTTAAACTTGATCATAAATTAGAAATTAAAGTATTGATTTTGTTTTGGAAACAAATTTCGTCATCACCAATAAATTCTTGAAAGAGTTTTAACGACCGATTTGATTCATTGACTATAGTGAAATTATCGATTTGGTTATCGACTATCATCTTACCAAATTAAGTCATCAACTTTGAAAATCTTACCCAATTTCGTCCTCTCGTCAATTTGAACCATACGGATGATAACGAATGATGAAATTGGGTAAGATTTTCAAAGTTGAAGACTTAATTTATGCATTTTAAAATAATCATCTATGCATTTAAAAACATTAATTATAATATTGAATTAATCGAAAATAAAAGGTTATCACCTTTTAAATAATTAATCAGTGGGTCTAGTAATTTCACACACAAAAACGAATGACACGTTTGGTTCACAGAATAGGCCTGAAATGACATAGCATTTCCAGTATTAACCTATTCATGAGTTTTCAGAAATAGCTTTTATATTTTATTTTATATTTTATGCTTTGTTTAACCTAGGGATGGCAACGGTATTTTATTTTATATTTTATGCTTTGTTTAACCTAGGGATGGCAACGGGGCGGAGCGCGGGCGGGGAGTATACTCCCCGTCCCCGGTGGGGAATTGAAAATGTTCCACATCCCCGTCCCTGCGGGAAATTAGACGGGATCGGAGATTCCCCATTCCCCGTCAACTCCTACTCAAAATGTTAAATAATTTTAATTTTTAATAATAAAAAATTAACATTTAAGTACTAGTTTCAAAATTTAAAATACTAACTAACTAACTAACTAACTAACTAACTATATATATATATATATATATATATATATATATATATATATATATATATATATATATATATATATATATATATATACACACACACACACTAACAGTATAAAATCGGCAGGGTCCGTCGATTAACAAACCCCCATACATTGGATCATCATTTGTCTTGATTCAGCCGAGGTATTGAAGCTGAACATAGCAGATGACTTGTTGTAGTTTATTCGCTGACCTGAAGCCGTACGATATGCTTCCAAACAGTCCCTAATTCGTTGTGCTTCACTGTGATTCGCCTTGAAAAAAACAAGACTATCGTCGGCAAAAAAGAGGTGTGAAATAGATGGGGCACCTCGTGCCACTCGAACACCATGTATACCCCAGCCGCTTCAGCCTGTTGTAACAGTAAAGATAAGGCCTCCGCACACAAAATAAATAAATTACGTCTCTTCCGAACCGATGCTGCTCTGTGGAAAAACTTGGTATTGAAATCACCTTGCTTTAGCCAAAGCTGTTTGGATCGTTGTTTCCAAAACACCTCTTCTTGGCGTAGAAGAGAACCTAGTTCGCCTTCCGCTGCCATAAACTCGCCCATTGCCTGGGCCGTTCTATTCTCCTTGAGTCTAGCCATTCTATCACGCAAAATAGTGATACGTCTTCCGAACCTTCTAAAATGCTCGTCACCCCATCTCCATAGACGCTGCTTGCACAGCTTGATCCATTGTTGGAACTCCAGCCCTGCCGACTGACGCCAGGCTTGATCAATCACTCTACCGCATCCTCCTTCCAACAACCACGCAGACTCAAACCTAAAGGATTTTCTAGCTGTCCGAACTGGCCTTGTCTCCACGTCTAGAAAAATAGCGCAATGATCAGAAGACAAGGTTTGCAGATTGTGTACCAGAACACCCTTGTAGAGTTCCGTCTAGTCCACCGTGGCCACCGCTCGGTCCAGTCGTTCTTCCACCCATCTGTCTGTACCACGACCACGCTCCCAAGTAAACCGACCTCCCACCATCCCTAAGTCCACCAATTGACAATCGGCTAAAGAGTCGTTGAAACCATCTAATAATGCTGTCGGATGAGAATGCGTGTCCCGCTTCTCCGATAGACAAACAATGTCGTTGAAATCGCCTAGGACAATCCAAGGTAAGTTAGATTGACCCTTGAGCTGTCTAAGGAGATCCCACGTCTCCTGCCGTCTCGATCTGTCAGGGTTGCCATAAAAACTCGTTAGTCTCCAGTCGGGCTTACCCGGCAGAGTCACTACACGTCAATAATTTATAAATAATATCACTTTAAATCGTGGACATAGATGCTATAGTTTTAATAGGGAATCATATTTTGTAATATTTTTTTTATTACTGTAATTAATTAAAATTATATAAATATATAGAAAAGTATTTACATTTAACATTTAACATAATTTAGTAAGGAAAAATCAGGTTATGGGTAAAATAAAAGGTATACTTGAAAGTACATCTAAAAACTGGACAAATTTGAGAGATAGAAAACACAAAAATATCATGCCACTCTCATTTAAAATAGACAAAAAAAATTCTCCTTTTTCTTATATTCTTATTATACTGTGTATAATAAAAGTAAAAGAAAATAAAATAAAATGAAAAAGATGTTGGGACAACTTTCTTCTCTTTTTTCCCCCCTCTCCTCTTCTGTGTAAAACCCTAAATCACCAATCAATGAAATCCCATGCCATCTCTCTAAAACTCCATTTCACTCTCTAATCTCTAAGCTCGATCGTTTTTTCTTTCAGCTCTCCGCACCTGCTTCATTTCTTCCCATCTTCGAATCTTTTCTCCAAAGTTTTCATTTTTATTTACTTTTGTGGGGGGTTTTTTCAAAAACAATTTGATTTTGCTGTTAGAAATTTAGGGTTTTGGTCTGCAATAGAGAGAGGGGCTAAACCGGAGGTCAGGCTGGCGATTGGTGCTGAGGTCAGGTGATGGCGGATCCGCCACATGTCCGCCGCCGATTGATTGTTATCCCGTGTTTAGATATTGAAGAATTAAGTTTTCTCGACGCTGGTGGTTTCCTAGTAGTAGCTATAGGTGAAGAAGTAGTGAGAAGAGAGTGGGCCGTTGCACATCTCCCAGAATGCTGACTGTTCTGCGAGTGCACCTCCCTTCAGACATTCCGATCGTAGGTTGCGAGCTCACTCCTTATGTTCTCTTGCGCCGCCCAGATAAATCTGTTATTACTGACGATGTTCTAGATTCCGCGCCTATTGACGGCCACACCTTGAGATACAAATGGTAAGTTCATTTCTGCATATTGTTTAAATATTTCTGCATTTGACTATTTTCTCAGTTGTTCTAATTTGTAGTTGCAGTTAGTTTGGTATTGCTTGATCTCTGTACTCATTTATACATTTGAATTCTTTCAAATTGTAAAAAGGGTACTTCATGTTTAGACCTGTTGATGCTGAGTTGTAGGATTTGGTAATATGATATTTTATTCGGGAGACAAAATTTATGTCTAGGAGAATGAAGCCTCTTTTAGAATGCCTTCCTTCTTTTGTGTTTGTCCTGAGGAAAGTGTTGGGTGTCTATTGATTAAAGAAAATGTGACCTTCGAAGCATATGTTGCTGACTGAAGAAAATGTCATTTTGCCATTAGATATTATTGTCTTTCTTGTTTGAACTGCTCTAGTGATGCTTGCTCCAACTTTGAATGCATTTATTAGTTTCTTCTTGTCATTGTGTCTGGAAATATATCATGTACTAAAGTGTATTTCTTTTCTATATTCAGTTTTATAGTTTTAGTTCTTAAACCCAATCTTGAGATATGCTGTTTTCTTCCAAGATGCTGAATTGGCTATAGCTGCCAGCATTATTAGCTATTCATCTGATATCTCTACACTCATTGGTCTGCATGTGGCAAATGTATTTTTATTTATCATTTAATTTCATGTTATCATCCTCCTGTTAGTGCATAGAGTAGTTAAGGGTTGAACTGCTTACTACGTAGAACTGTAGAAAGGCATCCATTAGTTGTAGGGAACTAGGGACTTTAATGACCTTGTTTCACAGCTTTAGGAAACGCAGTATCTGCACTTGAAAGCAAGAGCAACAATTTTGGCAGTATTTTCAGGAAGTGCGTGATATAATTTAAACTGGCTCCACTGCCGAATGACTTTTTTCTGTTTTGCTATTGGCAGGACTCTAGTGGTGCAAAGGATAGTGTGGTCTTCAGTTAGAATCTCATATCCAATGATGTTATGCTACAAAAATTGAATGGATTAAAAAAAAAATTGTTTTTGAAATATTTTGATTTTGGAGCATAGTTGTATGAAAGATATCTTTGTTTTTAATTGGATTGATGTGTTACTTTCATTAGATGAGATCATGCTACTGCTTGTGTGGCTGGGGTGATAAATTTGAGCATTTTTGCTTCCGCCCCCTTTCCCAGAACACATTACTTATGTTTGAGGTGTATCTGAAGTATCTGGTTCCATGATGTAATTTGTTAACTTATTTTTATCAATTGACAAAGATCACTTAGAAGTTTTAGGATCTATTTGGTAATATCCTTTTTTTTTTTTTTAATTTAAATTTTGTTTATATCTTTCCATTTCAAAATCAAATATACTATTTTTTTATTTTTTTATTTTGGTTTGACAAGAAAATTAAAAACATGTGTTTGCTTCACGTTGTATTTGTTAAGGGTCTGTGGTGATGATGGGAAGCGGTACCAAGGGAGGAGTTACAAGCTTAGAATATGCTGCTAGGTGTTGTGTGTTGGGTTGGGCTAAGGAGTGTTGGATGTGAATAGGTTATCAGGGATGGTGTTAGGCCCCACGTTGGATTCACGGGAAAAGTTGGTCAACATATTTGTCAATATCCATCATGCATACAAATCCTGTCCTGAGTCTCCTGACTTTATTGTCAAGGGAGGAGTTACATGGTTAGAATATTTTTCTAGGTGTTGTGTTGGGTTGGGCTAAGGGGTGTTGGATCATTGGATGTGAGTAGGTTATGAGGGATGGTGTTGGGCCCCACATTGGGTTCATGGGAAAAGTTGGTCGACATATTTGTCAATATCCATCATGCATACGAATCCTGTCCTGACTTTATTGTCAACATATAAGATACATAAGTGAAATTCTTAAGATTTGACAAAAATCACTAAGCATAATTAAGAGATTAAGTAACATTTCTCTTAATGACTTTTAACGGCGAATATGAAATTTAAATTACTATTATATCATTTATATGGATATATCCATCATGCATACCGAACCGTTTCCTCACTGACTACATTATCTTCATATATATAAATATACAAAATATAGTAACGTAAGATTTGCCAATGTGTAATAATTGTTGCCAATCTAAAAAACAAGCATTTCTTTTATCGACATGCCAACAATCACTCGTTCGCCAATGCAAACATGTGGGTGAGAAGTGAGAACTGTCGCTAAGTAATTGATTTTTGCCGTGTGAGTTGAGTTCACACTGTCTTTAATCTCCCATCTTTCTTAATGAATTGGTTGTCAATTAAATGAAAAATTTTCTGCTATTTAAGTTTTCATTAACTCTGGTTGCTATTTTGATTCTTGTTAATTTGTACCATATGTAGGTACCGCATACAAAGTGATAAGAAAGTCGCTATTTGCAGTGTCCACCCATCTGAGCAAGCTACATTACAGTGCCTTGGATGTGTTAAGGCCAAAATACCGGTTGCTAAGAGTTACCATTGCTCTACCAAATGTTTCTCAGATGCATGGCAACATCACCGTGTTCTGCATGAACGTGCTGCTAGTGCTGTCAATGAAAATGGAAATGAGGAGGAAGAAGAATTTGGGCGCTTCAATAATGCTGTAGTTAATACAAGCTTGCCTCCATCACAATCAGCTGGCAATTTGGCAAATGGAGTGACACCCTTGTACCCAGCAACGGTCGCACAAAGGAATGGTAGTGAAACGTGGTTTGACGTTGCTCGGTCCAAAACATATACACCAACAGCAGATGATATTGGTCATGTCCTTAAATTTGAATGTGTTGTTGTAGATGCAGAAACAAAACATCCAGTGGGACATATGAATACTATATTGACATCTCGTGTGATTCCAGCACCATCTCCCACTCCACGCCGCTTGATTTCCTTCAGTGGAGTTGATATCCCTGGGCATCTTGATTTAGATGGCCGTATTTCATCTTCCGAGTCTTTTACCGTGCTTTCATATAACATCCTATCTGATGCATATGCATCAAGTGAAATATACAATTATTGCCCCTCTTGGGCTCTTTCTTGGACGTATCGAAGACAGAATCTATTGCGTGAAATTGTTGGCTATCGTGCAGACATTGTTTGTCTTCAAGAGGTATAGATACATGCTAGAAACACTGAAGGCTGTTCAGTCATTTAGATTTTGGTCTAGTTTATGCATAGTATTCTACAACATGCAGGCAATATGATCTTCTAAACTGTGAAGTTTTAATTTCATAATTAGAAGTTCTAAATATGACAGTCCAACATTAATTGGTGTATCAAAAATTGATTCCTCTGCCTGGTGTTACTCTTTTCCAATTTATTTTATCACAAGAAAGTGTCATTTTTTTTTATGTGCATTGCTATCTTAAGTTGTGCTTCATTTCATATGATTATGTTGGTAAGTGAGCTTATAAACACTTATCCTAGATGCCTGCATTTTTTTTTTTTTTCATTTTAGGTTCAAAATGACCATTTTGAGGAATTCTTTGCTCCTGAGTTAGACAAGCATGGCTATCAAGCACTTTACAAAAGAAAAACTGCAGAGGTTGGTTAGCCACTTGCTCTGATGAAATGTTAGGCATTGGAGATTATTGCTTCTATAAGCTGTATTTTTGTGGCTGCAGGTATTCGGTGGAAATATTAATACAATTGATGGATGTGCTACATTTTTCCGACGAGATAGATTTTCTCATGTTAAGAAATATGAGGTATGAAAGAGTTACGAGTCTATGGAAGTCTATCTTGCTTTGGTAATCATGTAATCATCCACATCTGCTGTGTAGGTTGAGTTTAACAAAGCTGCACAATCCTTGACTGATGCATTAGTTCCCAGTGCTCAAAAGAAAGCTGCTCTAAGTCGTCTAGTTAAGGTATCTTATTTAACATATCAAGTGATGTTCATTTGGTTATTATTTATTTTTTCATGCAATCTTCATTGGTTACACTCTTTTGTTTTGGTCTAATTGTTTTTGAAATTGTGCTTTCATACAGGATAATGTGGCACTTATAGCGGTCCTGGAAGCAAAGTTCAGTAACCAGGGAGTTGATAACCCTGGAAAGCGTCAGCTTGTTTGTGTGGTATGGATCCCTTAAGATGTGCCCTTTATTTGATTGAAATTTTTGACGGGTGTTTTTTAAGTAGCATATTCCCTATCCTGAATCCAGGCAAATACTCATGTGAATGTTCAACAAGAGTTGAAGGATGTCAAGCTTTGGCAGGTTATATCAATGCCCTTCGTTCTGTCCTCCTGTTTTTAGGATCTTTTGGTTCAAAACTCAATTGTGTTTGTCTTACTTATCAGGTTCATACACTTCTGAAAGGACTGGAAAAGATTGCTGCAAGTGCCGATATTCCAATGTTGGTCTGTGGTGATTTTAATTCAGTACCTGGAAGGTCTGTCGGTCTTTTAATTGATATGGAGTGTACTTATTTCTGATTCACAGTGACCTCGTCTAAGTAGAGCATAAAAACTCAGCATATTTGGTATTTGGTTGGAAAAATTTTAATAATTGAAATGTTGTGTGGACCAAATGCAGCGCTCCTCATTCACTCCTTGCAGCTGGGAAAGTTGATCCATTGCATCCAGATCTACAAGTTGACCCTCTTGGTATTCTGCGTCCTACAACCAAGTTAACGCATCACCTGCCATTGGTATAGCTTAAAAATCTCCATATCAAGTTTTTCACTGCCCAATTAAATTGTTTAATGCCGTAATAAATCTTGACTTGCATGGATTTTATAGAGAGGAAAAAAAAAAAACGTTGTTATGACATTCTTCAATGCAGGTGAGTGCTTACTCGGCCATTGGTAGACTTGGGGTAGGTCTTGGGTTTGAGCTACAGAGGAGGCGAATTGATCCCACTACGAATGAACCCCTATTTACTAATTGCACTAGGGACTTTATTGGTACCCACGATTATATATTCTACTCAGGTATATGCTCGACTGCCAATTCTTCGTTTAACTTGGGATAGCTTGTGTGATTACATTACATTCATTATTACTATGTTGTTTCAGCGGACTCGTTAACTATTGAATCTATGTTGGAGCTCTTGGATGAGGATAGCTTGAGAAAAGACACGGCGCTTCCTTCTCCAGAGTGGTCGTCTGATCATATAGCACTCCTAGCCGAGTTTCATTGCAAGTCTAGAACTAAACACTGACAACTAGGTTCGTGTCGATCATAAGTGTGTTGTTTGTTTATGCCAATTCTCACGTACTATTATCATTTCTGATGGAACGGTTTACGTGGCAGTGTCGTTTTGCTGTAGGCATTGCAGAATAGAAGCAGAAACAAGTGAAAAAGGATTTTACAGATTAAGTGATTGTAAGAATAGTAGATCCCTTTCCAGGGCGGCCACCACAGATGTTCATCCTTGTATTATGATCTATCTACCACCTTGTCCCATAGAAAAAATTGTTTATTGTTTTTGACTTCATTTTCCTATCTAAAATAGAAAAATATTATATACCTGCAATCTCCACTAAAGAGATTTTCTTTTTAGTTATTAATCTTTCTCAATTTTCTCCAATCCTAAACTTTTTCTTCCATGCATGAATTGAATGAGGGGAAATTGAACTGAACTGAACTGGACATAAATATATAGAAATCTCCTTGTAAACAAAAATATTTTTATCAAATTACAACCTAGTGCAAGAACAATCATCTGGATAAGCAGGGGGGACTTAACACATGATGAACAAAATGTTTCGAAAAGATTGTTTTTATACTCACTCAAACGCAAGGAATACGAGTCCAACAACCGAGATTAGCTATGCACTTTGAAGCACTCGAGCTTTGGGAAGAGTTGGAGCAGTTGATCACGGCTCCGATTCTATAACATGGTGGAACAGTATTAGTAAAAGGGATTAGTATTTTCATGCTACAATCAATCTACTGATGATTTCACTTTGTAGTTTTCTCTTTATACCTTGATGCCAATACAACCGTTCACATCCAGAGTTGTTAGCGTATTTGAACAGAAGCTCGAGAGTGCCTCCACAGACTTGTCAGTCACCCCAACAATTCCAAACAAACTGCAGTAATAAATAGGGCATCAATACGAACTTTTGGCAGGAATCAATAAGAAAAAATATTTTGTTTGGGATCACCTTAGCAATTCAAGAGACCTGCAGCCTTGGGCAATGGCTAAGACCCCCACATCAGTAACTCTTACACACCTGTCAGTTAACCGACACCAGTAACCAGTTTAGGTATATATGTGAAACGTGTTCTTTTGCTCAAGATGAAATTCTGGGGCACACCCATATAGCTTACATACCATGTCAAATTGAGAGACGCTAGCCTTTTACAGTTTGCAATACAAGAAAGTCCATCATCCGTTAGATTCTGATGCACAGCTTTGGTCAATACAGAAGTATACATAACCAATTTGACCACTGCACCAAGTGGTGACAGAATCTACTTAGGCAAGAGGTCAAAGAAATGAAATTTTTTTAAAAAAAGACGATCACCTGTGCACCGCAGAGATCCAGGAATTTTAGATGAGGCAAAAGTGAAATCTTCTTGTAAGCTTCATCCGTAAATCTGCACATAAATAAGTGAAGCAATATAGAGCACTTTGATGGCTTGTTTGTCAAACACTTTAGTTTGTATGCATATGTAACATTGAACAGGGAATATAATCTTAATTTCATACATAGAAAGGGCATAAAGGTTCAAACTTTGAAGCAAAGAGCACTTCAGCAATATCCTTTGTAAACCACTATCCGTTAGCTTGATGCACCTAAATACATGAAAGATCACAAAAGAATTATAGAACCGTACAAATAACGTGGTATTGTGTTAACTTCAGTCATATGCCTCATCCGATCATATACTTCATCTTGAATCAAGAAAATGAAGAAATATACTCTTTATGATGAATGGCATATTTCAAAAAAGGAGAGATTTAATTTAAAAAAAAAAAAAAAAGTTTCCTCAAGAAAAATAAGGTTAGTAATCTACACAGATCTCTTAGTATTACCTAGTGAGATTCAGTGAATCCAATTCTTGATAGTTGTCCGCAATTAGATGCAAACTTTTATCTGTAATATTCTGTAATATGCACAAACAAAAACTGAGGCAGTCTTTCAACAACAAGAAGATGAAATGAAACCACAAGCTTGCATTAAGCAACAAATTCATGGCCACTGCTCACATATTAGGGGCAGCGACAAGAGGAATAAAACTATCAGTAGTTTATCTTGCTACCCTTTTTCTTTCACCCCAGTATTTGTGTCTATTTAAATATTCTACGTTTCACCTAGACAACAGTATACAGTGGGAAGTGGATTAAAACTATTTTAATGTCTCCAATATGCTCAAGCAGTATAACGTGATAACCATATTGACTACATTTGTACACACAAATGACACACAAACATCTCTAAAGGTGACAACTTCCTCTCATTGTAGTCTAGTAAATACTATAGAATCAGTTTCAATATGAACTAAGGATTTGTTTGGAAACCCGGAAGTCATTTTCCAGATTTTTCCGTGTTTGGGTATTCAAAGGAAATAAAATCAAAAGAAAATATTCATTCTAATCAAGAGAAAAAAGCCCAATTTGGCGGAAAGTGTCTTCCTAGATTTTTAGTTGGAATACATTTTCCGGATTCTTTATTTTCCATCTCTCTTTTCTCTCAATCTTCAAGCTAGTTTCTGGATTATTACCACCACCACCACCACCATTTATTATTATTATTATTATTTTATAACAAATAATATATTCATTAACAGAAAAAATGTAATTTTTTAACGTTCAACCAAACAACAAAAGATAGTTTTCTAACCTTCAGCCAAACACCAGAAAATTAAAATATTTCAAGGGAAATGAATCATTTTCTGGAAAACATTTTTCAAGTTTCCAAATGGACCCTAAATAGTTCCATAGGCTATCTGATATTAGTGGCAAGTACTGGAGTTCAAATAGCAACATTACAACTAGTACAACAGTTTCTTTTATTTAAGAGTGTTTAACTTTATCTGTTCCAACTGTCTGTCCAGTTCTATTTCACAGTTCTAGGAAGCACTTTCTGCAATTGGTTGGAAGGAAGGAATTAAGGGGGAAAGGAATTGTAATTCGGTGGGAAAAGAATAAGGTGGGAATAAAGTAGGAATTACAATTACATTGTTTGGTAGGGAAGAATAATGGAAATGGGAGAAGTGATATAAAGAATAAAATACCCTTGTGTAATAATATTAATAATAACATTCAAGGACAAATATGTCATTTCCTTCCTTTTCCCTTTTCATTGTATGGATGAATTCATTGAATTGCAATTCATAGGGGGGTACCTATGAATTGCAATTCAATGAATTGAGGGAATTGCAATTCCCTCCAACCAAACAATGTAGTTTATCACTTCATTGAATTGCAATTCAATGCCAATGCAATTCATGCCAACCAAACACCCCAAAGTCTATAGGACATTATAATCAGGGTGAGACCTCCAAAAGCAAAGCCTTTGCCAAAATCATTCAAAGTGAGTCCTCATCATCCCACACTCCCACAGTCAGGAGTTCAATGCCTAATTGCCTATCCCCCTTACTAAACCAAACAAATAATATAAAGAGACAGGGAACAAAAATAGGGCACATACAGTCATATACCATACATAATCATTACGTACCTTACAGCCACTTAAGTTCAAATCAACCACAAGTTTGCAGTTTCTCACTAAATGCATTATGCCAAGATCTGTAACCCTGAAAATCAGATTAAGAATCACAGATGTGAAGAAGAAAAATAAGTTTAACTAAGAATACATCAATAGTACATAATAGTCGAGACATAAATTAAGGCTTAAAATACCTTACATTCCAATATATGGAAAATCCCTTCAATTTGGGACAAATACTAGTTATAGCTTCTATCCCTGTATCAGAAATCTTTTGGCAGCCATTTAGGTTCAAAGTCTCAAGGTTTTGAAGGGAATTCCCACACTGCCAATGACAAATGTCATAAATTTGAAACTTCATTACAAGATCATAAACACACATATGCTCAGCACACAAAACGGTAAAGGTTCTGTTTGCTAACAAAATATCAACTTTCTCTGATTTCTAATATTGTTTGAGGGCTACCTTGCTCTTGACATCTTGGAGATTCTTATCTTCCACATCCTGTGCAAACTCGAGGTTTATATGCCTCACATTCCGATATCTCAGCTGGAGGAAAAACACAAATAAATGAAACACCAGAGTTCCAAGAAATTAGATACAAAGCATTTTAAAATTTTTATAATGATCTTCATTTACAGTCAACATAATAAATCCACAGAACCAAATTCTTCTTCTTTGACAGAAAAATGAATATTCCTTTTAGTAACATCTCGTATTTCCGTACATCAATACATTCCAGTCCTTCTCCGGTCTGCATAGCCTTCACAAAATCTCTAATTTGGCAAAATCTATTTTTTTTTTCTTTCACATTCTCAGAAAATAAGCACTATTTTTCTGAAACACATCAATATAAAAGAAACCCCCCCCCCCCAAAAAAAAAAAAAAACTGACCAGAGAAAGGGCTGCAACGAGGCGATTCCCAGCATTGTTCATCTCATGGAAATCAAGCGCCTGAAAAAGGGTTCAGACAAGGAGTACTAAGAAAACCAAAATCCGGAATACCAACGTTGAAAATAGAAGAAAGATAATCTTTTTACACACACACAGATGCATATAGAAGTATAGAGAAGCTGACCAGCCAGAGGGAGGGGTGTGAGATGAGAGTGCGGTGAATCCAAGGGTTGAGGAGCAATAGAGACATGAGGTCTTTTTGGGGTAGTCTGGTGCTGACTATCATCATCACTTTTGGCACTGTTTCTCGGTTCCATACCTCTTCTTCTGCTGTCGTTAATGCTTCTTCCTTTCTCTCCATTGCTCTTTACCAACAATCTTTCGCCTGGAACCCTCAACCAACTACCCCAATCACTTTGCTTCAAATCAATTTTCTGATCAATTTCGTCTAGGGCAAGGGCACCAAACAAAGAAGTTTCTAATCAGACATTTTGCATAATTGCCCTACTTTTGTCTAATCAATAGGGCACCAAAATTTGTTGATGTCTGGGACATTCTAATGGCATTTTGTACTACAATGTATAGTGTATTACTAATATAATATAGCATGTAAATTTTCCTTTTCTAATTTTCAATGTTACATTTTTGTGTTCACATATATCATTATTACTAGCATTTTGTACACACGATGCGTGAAAATTCATGTCCAATATTAAAATATTGATAAATACAAATAATTAAAAATTATAATTTGAATTATATATACACAAATAATATATGTATTTTGTAGACACATATATAATTTATAATTCATAGAAATTTAATTAAAATATAATTAAAAATTAAATTAATAAATAATGACCTTAATAAAATGATAATTAAAAATAGAAAAAAGATATGATAGATATAGGTGTATGGTAATAATGATGTGTTATCAAGGTTAGAATTAAAAATTAACGGTGTACGGGTAGTTTTGTCTAGTAACATTTAAATGTACAACATTTAAAGTAAAATGCACACATTTATTTGGATACAAAAAAAAAGGGACATAAATTAAGGATATAACCTTACGGGGGTGTATTTAATCATGACTTTCATAGAGTTTTAAGAGCAAATTACACTTTTGGTCCTGTGACTATTAGGGGTGTGTTAATTTGGGTACGTGACTTTTAAAATTAACAATTTAGTCCTTTAACTATCATTTTTTTAGCAGATTTGGTCCTCCTGGCCAAATTGACGGTGGAATTTGGCCGGAAAGACATTCGAATTTTTAAATCAAATATTAGTGGGGGTAATTCGGTCTTTTTAATTGTAAAAAAAATAACATTTGATTTAAAAATTCGAACGTCTTTCCGGCCAAATTCCACCGACAATTTGGCCTGGAGGACCAAATCTGCTAAAAAAATGATAGTTAAAGGACTAAATTGTCAGTTTTAAAAGTCACGTACTCAAATTAACACACCCCCAATAGTCACAGGACCAAAAGTGTAATTTGCTCGAGTTTTAATGACTTTTATGAACTTTAAATGTTTGGAGGTATTCAATTCAAACTTTTAGAGAGTCTTTAAAAGTTAGGCGGTATTCAATCAAGATTTTTAAAGAGTCTTTAAAAGTCGTATGGTATTCGATTAAGACTTTTAAAGAGTCTTTAAAAGTCATGTGGTATTCAAAAAGTTATGTATTTTTGTAGACTTTTTAATTTTAAGACTTTTGTAGACTTTTCCTTCTCAAATATAAATAGTTCAAATCCAACCATCAATCCCAAGATTTCAAAATTTTCTTTCTAACAACTTTGAGTGTTTTCTCTCTCTATTTAAACTCTAATTTTCTCCATATTTGAACTTGTAAACCTATCTAAATTCAATAATTTTTTTTCTTCATTATCGTATATTTTCCTCGTACCTAAGCTGTACTAATTTTTCTCTCTCCTAAACTTTACAATCTTCATCTAAAAATTCGAAATAATATTATTTTTACATCATTATTGCTTGTTTATATTGAATTTTATTTTTTCTATGATTTTTTTATCTCTAACTTTCTCTAATTCTCCCTAAACACATGAACAAAGCAATTTTTTCATCGTCAAATTTTAGTATATGTTTCATAATATTCATATAAATACTTATATATTTTGATTTTTATTCTTTTTATGTTTATATTCGTAATATATATATATATATATATATATATATATATATATATATTTTTTTTTTTTTTAACAACAGGTTACTACGGATAGTGAACTACTGTTCACAACAACAATTTGGGGTTGCAAACAGTAGCACCTTGTTGTTCGCAGTCTCAAATTACTATTGCAAATAACAGTACTTTGCGTGATGCCTAGCAATATATCAAGTATAATTTTTTATATATATTATTAATATTAGATTTTTATTTTTTTAATTTTATGTAACTTGTAATTATATTTTTAAATATTTTATTTGATCAATTCTTTTATTATAAATTTTATTGTCCAATATTGTTATGAATTTCTAATGAAATAGTTTTTTTTTGTTGATGTTTATTAATAATACTAGTTTTTTACGCGCATTGCGCGATTGGGATAATGCCCAATGCATTTTTTTTTAAATAAGTACTTTAAAGTATATTAAGGCATGATTATATTGAAATTGTTCATGCATAGATAATTGAAGGTTGAATTTGCGTATTTAAATAGGTAATTCTTCTCCCAAAGGTTGAGTCCCCAACCCCAAGAGCCCCCCACACTCCGACCCAAGGAAGTTGTAAATCTCCGACCCGACAGAGCATTGTAGGAAGTTGTAAATCACGGTGACTCAATGGTTCAGCAGACAGGGCCAAATGCCGATACGCACAAGAAATCTGCCCACTTTGGACATAATTCCCGCACTGCCGCTGCCGAGATTCAAACCTTGGTATCTTCTCCCAAATACTACCCACTAAACCATTGAGCTAAGCCCGTGCGGGTTAAATAGGTAATTCTAAGTTTACAAATGCAATATAATATAGTCAAGATTGATTATAATTGTCAATAAAATAATTGTATAGGTATGGTTGAAACCAAATACGGGACATAAAGGAAAACAAATAAAAATTAGGGCATAAAATATTAAATATATACTAATATTGTTTGAGGAGATTCCGACATTAGGATTTGTGATTAAGTTCTATTAAGACTTAGCTTTAATATTAGAATTAGATTAATGGTGTAGTTATAATTCTATATTAGACTTTAATATTAGAATTAGACTAACGGTGAATTAACGAAAAAGTTAAATGGATAATCATATAATTAAGGATAAATTATAAAATCTTAAAAGAAAAAAATTAAAACCTGAACAATATGAACCATTCATTTGATTTAATAATTTGACGGTCATTTTTTCTACCCAATGTTAATAATTAAATAAATTCGCTGGTCAAATCCGCTAGTTTTTTACGCGCATTGCGCGATTAGGATAATGCCCAATTTTTTTTTTTTAAATAAGTACTTTAAAATATATTAAGGCAGGATTATATTGAAATTGTTCATGCATAGATAATTGAAGGTTGAATTTGCGTATTTAAATAGGTAATTCTTCTCCCAAAGGTTGAGTCTCCAACCCCAAGGGCCCCTAACGCTAACCGCTAACTGCTGATTGTCAAACAAGGACATTGCGAGGTAGTTCTCACTTCAATTTGTTGTGTGATTTGAATACTCTCTTTGTCACAAAATCTCTCAAAGTAGTTAATATGGTTGGCTTTATTAATTATATTTTTTTTAATTTTTTCATGGTATTAATAAAATACTTGGTAAATAAATATATAGCATTATTTTGTATTATAACTTTGATATTTAATCAGAAAAATAGTGCACAAAAAAGATAATAGATAATGTAGTGAATATAATCAATTGATGAATTTGAATGTAAAAATTTTTACATTTGAGAAAAATAAAGACAATATAACTAATGAAAATATTTCTTTTAATTAATTTATTGATAATTAATAATTTTTTTTCACTGAATAAAGACATTGTAAGGATAATGTAGCGAATATAATCAATTAATAAATTTGAATATAAAGAATTTTTATATTGAAGAAAAATAAAGACAATATAACTAATAAAATTATTTCTCTTATTTAATTTATTGATAATGAATAATTTTTTTTTTTGAATAAAGACATTGTGGACACATAATTCTAAATTAAAGAAATGCATATGTATCATTTTTCGTTGTAACTACTAAATTATTATTTAATTATGCTAACTTGATTGGGATGAGGTTTGAACCTAAGACATTTTTTTATTGAAATCAATGAGTAAGTTAACGGTGAACTAACGGCAATTCTTAAAATTTTAACGGAATTAGTAACGGTGTGTGGGTATTTTAGGAAATTTTAGTGTAAAATTTAAATCTGATCAATCTTTTAATCCATCTGAGCCATACATTTAATTAAAATCTGTGACCGCCATTTTTTCTACCCATTATAGGCCTAACTCTCTTGGGCTCTTATTAGTATAGTAGATATATAAGTAATTAGCATTTTTTTAAAGAATAAGTAAGGCTGTCCTTATCCCAGCCAAACTCTCCTTTGCAAAGTGATGTGGCAAAGCCACATATACATTTTTTATTTTATTTTTTTTATGAAATGGGTTTGCAAATTTGCACTGCAAGCAAATTTGCAAACCCTGAAAAAGCTGCCGCGGCAGCTTTTGTATATTTTTTTTAAAATTTTATTTGATTTTTGTACTTTTTAATATTTTAATATAATTAATAATGTTATTTTAATATATTGGACCCACTTTTGAAGATTGATTAGATTTGTAGGGATGTAGTGTGAATAGTAGATGATTTGCAAATGGGATGATGTGAAAGTGGGACCCATTTTTGAGAGTGAAAGATGTTTGCAGGGATAAGGACAGCCTAATTAGCATATAAGTCTCAGCATACTATGGATAAAATTAATAATGTCGAGAATGTTGATGTAGGTGAAGAACTATATAATAAGAAGAATTTTATGATATATTATAAAAGTTTTGTAAGAAAATTATAAATAATAATCATCAAAATCATTGAAAGTTTGTAAGGATGTATTCAATTTAGAATTTCAATGACTTTTGTAGACTTTTTAAAATAAAAAGTTGATAAAAGTCTATGAATATTTTTTTATATAGACTTTTATAAAGTCTTATAAAGTTTTAAAAAGTTTTGAACGACTCTATGAAAGTCAATCAAAGTTTATTAAAATCTATCATTTTAAAAGTTTTTAAAACTCTACAAAAGTCATGATTGAATACACCCCCCTTAATTGAGGCTTATTATGTTTTTAGATTAGGCATTTTTATGCATAATAGGCAAAAGTTTAAGTTCAATATTAAACTGTGTTAAAATTATTAAAGAACAATAAAAATAATTATTAATAATAAATAAGATTTTTAACCCTGAGTGAAAATCTTATTTTTTTAAGGCACAAGTTGATAAATATCATAAATTAATTATTGTCATATTATTTTCATTTATAATGCAAAAAGAGAGTAATCACCAACCCATTTATACCAAATTCTACATCATT